GCCCCCGGGACCCCCCGGCCGCCAGCGCAGGTGAGCTCCGGGCCGGGGCCGGGATGGGGCCCGGGCGGGCCGGGGGCTCGGGGTGCGCGGCCGGGGCGCTGCGGGGCCGCCTGCGGCAAACGCCGGCTGCGCTCGGCTTCTGCAGCGAGCAGCGCTGCCGCCGCTGCTGCTCGGGAAAAGCGCTCCTGCCTCGGGGGGAGCGGGGCCGGCAGAGCCGCTGGCCGCCGGGGCTGCCCAGGGACCGGGGGATGGATGGATGGATGGATGGATGGATGGATGGATGGATGGATGGATGGATGGATGGATGGATGGATGGATGGCAGGCAGCAGGCTGGCTGTTTTGGCCGCTAACCCCTCATCACCTGCCGGCCCACCCCTCCGGGTGCTGCTGGTGTCTGCCTGGCCTTCAGGTGGCTTTGGCACGTGGCGCGTTGTCGCCACAATTGTCCCTCCCGGGCTTGGGGAGTGGCAGCACCTGGTCTGTCATCCAGACCTTCCCTGGCGTAGGGCTTGTGCTGCCTGGCTCTGCTGCTCACAGCCGTGTGTGCTTCTGCTGTGGCTTAGCTTTGGATCATGTTTTTGGCAGGCCATGAGAGTCTTTTAAGAGCTCCCAGAAGAGAGTCTGGAGCATGGCATGCTTTATGTGCCCGAGATGGGAACCTGAATGTTGAATGTCATGACAGAAGTCATTAGAAATGCGTGGCTTGTGTTTTGTTTCCATCCACAAGATGGACTCGGGTTTCTGGTATTGTGGAGCCGTTGGGAACAGTTGAAAAAGCCTAATTTCAGCAACTTCTTCAGATGGAAGCTTTCGTTTATCACAACTTCCTCCAACTCCCAGGCTCTGCCTGTGCCAGCAGTGACAGCAAGGGTGCAAGGATCTCATGTCACTTTGCCAGCATTTAAGAGTTACAACAGCCCTCATGAGTTACAGGCTGTACTTGTGCATGTGAGAAAGCTGAAACACGGGGGAGTTCGTTGTTTGAAGTTGTGCAGCAAACAATTGTCAGGTTTGGGAGCAGAGCTGTGCACAGGGTTGGTTTTCAAGCTTTTGCTTTCACCACTGAATATATGGTTTCCCTCTAGGTAGTTCCTCAGGCAATACTGTGAACTTGCCTAAAAGCTGGTTGGAAGTTTCCACCAAGGTTCTTGAGTGTCCCATCAGCTTTTCTCACTCTGTGGTGTCTCTCTGTGGTCATACTGTTTTACTCCCAGAATGAGGAATGGCTTTACATTTATTTTTCTCTTAAGTTGTTTTGCCTGAACTCCTCTTTCCCTCCCTCTGGCTATTGCTTCTGGTTGGATCTAAGGTTCTGCTGAGCCCGAGTGATGGCACATTGCTCTGATGCTCTTCTGGAGCTGGGAGCCCCAAAAACTGCAGCCTGTTTTTATCAGCACATGTGCATTCTGCTTTCCTATCTCTGCTCTTGCTGACAGCCCCTTTCATCATCAGCCCTGCACACAAACAAGGTTATCCCCAGTTCAGATCACATTAGTGTAGTTCTGCTTCCATTACTTTTCCCTGTGAGTCTGTTTTGTGGGAGTGTGTGTGTGAGGTGGGCATTGAACAATTTAAAAGCTCAAAGGAGTCTTTATTTCATTAAGGGGAGGGCCCAAGCCTGGGGATTCTTTAGCCCCAGTGGTTGTTTAAAGCCTGCTCCACATAACCAGAACACATCTATGGATGGTAGGAAAATCCATGGTTCTCCAGTGACATCTTGGTGCACAGAAGATGCTGAATTTTGTTAATTAAGTGCTGGTTTTCATCAGCACCTCTGGGAGGGAAGGGGATGATCTGTAGTGTCTCAGAGGCCTGAAGAGTTGGGTGTGGGCATTTTCCTTGCCAGGACAGTTCATGGTACAGCTACATCCATCTAATGGTTTGTGTAAGTAAAAGTCAGATTAGTCAGGGGCTCAGAAATATCTGAGAAAAGGCACTGTCAAAGCAGCATAACTGTGTCTGGTGTGTAGAGCTGGATGAACAATGAACTGCTGTTGAAAGAGTGAGTGAATCAGTGCAGGCAACTCTGTGGCAGGATAGGAGAGATCAATGCAGAAAATGGAAGCTGATAATATGAAAAAAAACTTTATTTGATTTTTATATTTGGTGGAGGTAGAAGTCATATGATGGTAAACCATATAAAGGGAATTCAAGTATTCTAAACAAGGGTTTGAGGAAGGTAAAAGGCCAAGCCCTTGATTTTAGGGGTTGTTCCGTGCTTGAATTGTTTTCCACACTTTTCTGAGGAGTCCCCAGTGTTTTCCTACCTGGTGCATGACCTGAGTTTGGCTCTTGTGGTGTGTTGAAGGAGGAACCAGAGACAGAGCTGTGGTCTGTGCTGAGGCTGCAGCCCTGTCCTGGAGCTGCAGGAGAGCAGGGATGGCCCCATGGCACAGCTGAGACTCAGATCCTGATTTACAGGAGGCTGCTGGAAGCTGTGATGGAAACTCCTGTGGGCTCAGGAGCAGAGTCTGCCCTGTCACAGCAAAGGGAGGCAGCTCCAGCCTGCTTCTGTGTGTGGTGGAGTGTCTGGCACTGGGTGTGAGTCCCAGCAAACCCTGCCAGGGGGGAGCTCCTCTCCCAAACTCCCATGTGCAGGCACGGTTTGGCACACTCACCTGCTGCAGGATTCTTCCCAATCTCCCTTGAAGGGCAATTTGGGCGTTCCTTTTGCTGCCAGTCAGCACTCAAATGACTTGCCTGCAGTGTGGACCTGTTTTATCACCCTGTGACCCCAACCAAAATATCAAGACCAAGCCCAAAACCCTCTCAGAGCTCCCCGAAGTGCTGAGGGAGCTCAGAGCTGGCTCAGCTGTGCCCGGTGCACTGACTGTGTGCCAAAGCCATGTCAAACACGTGTGTACCTCCAAGTGCCATGCTCTCCTCCCCAGCCAAACTCATGCCTGCAATGAAAGTGACTTCCTGCATCTCCCACGCAGCCCATCACCTGTGAGCTCTGCGCTGCTCATTTCCTATAAGCTGGAGGTATTTTGGTAGTCCTGGGGTTTTGTAATTTTACAATTTGTTTGTGGGTGTTGCTGCAGCTTCCGTGTCTGTCTGATGCTGCAGCCTTGCAGAGGAACACTGCTCCATGTCTGATCTTGCTGCTTTCTTTTTTGGTTTTTTTTTTTTTTTTGGGTTTTTTTGCCTTTTCCTCTCCAAAGCGGTTTCGTGATGTAAACACCAGAGCTGTGGTTGATAAACTCCACAAGAGGAAATTGAAATTTGTCTTAGTAGGTTTTATGTTGGCTGCTGGCTTGTTAAATACTGTCTGGGTGGTTTTAGATGTGTCTCTTGCACCCTGACACTCTGCACAAATTCACCTTTCCTCAGTTCCTCACCTGTGTTCCTCCTGTTGCTGATGCTGTGCCTCTATTCTCTACATGGCATCCGGTAGAACTGAGGTTTTATTTCTGTCCTGGTGCATGGACTCATCCCATGGGGACATCAGCTCTGCCTTGGCCAGCTCCCCTCTTTGCTGAAGATACACATTTATGACCTGCACACTAAATTGTGCAAGGAGAGAGCAGCCTGTAGCTTTCCTGCAGAGTAAAGAATAATGAACTGAGGCACAGGGCACAGGGGAAGTTGTGGAGTCATCTGAAAAGTGAAATTTTGTCTCATGGTTATTTTCCTCCACCGCTTTTACTGCCCAGTGATGAAGAGATCTGGGCTTTAAAAATTGACAATTATATTGGAGAATTTTTTTTTTTTTGGAAGACTGCTGCAGTGGAAGCAGAGAGTATATCTCAGATTACTCCAGTAGTGTAAACCCTGCCAAAAAGGAGTGATGCTGCTGTTCACAAATGGCAGCACGACCCAGAGAAAAGGGAATTGTAATTGTGTACACATGAGGTCAAGACAGTGCAAACAAGGTTGGAGAACTCTGTTCAGTTTCCCAAGGGGAAGAGGGAAGTCAGGCGGTGCAGGAACACCCATCTGTGCAGAGCTGGCCTCATGGAAGAACTGTCATATCACACCTGAGCTCCAGCAAGTAGGACATTCTGAATTTAGCAATGGGAAGGGGAGAGAGACTTGGTAAAAGATGTATTAGAAACCATGAAAGTCCAGAGTTATTCTTCCTTTGGTATATTCACACCAAGAAAAGATCCTGCATCCTCTAAATGAAGGAGTTTGGAAAGACAAGGTGCTGAGCTTGAGCTGACACTGGCTGCTCATGGCTCGGGCAGGCACTTCATATTCTCTGGGATGTGGTGCCAGACAGAAATCCTCAGCAGGAGGAAGCAGCTCAGCCTTGGCTGTGTCTCTGTCTCTGCTGGTCACTGGAGCTGTGGTAGTTTGCTGATTCAGGCTGAGGTAGCAGATTCACCCGAAACCTGCTGTTTTTAGTGTTGATGGGCAGAGAACAAGGCCAGCTTGTTTTGCTGTATTCAGCCTGGTGAGCCTTGCCTCCTCCCGCTCTGCTGCCCTCCCTGCGGGGCCCGGCGTGGTTTGTGGTGGTGCAGCTGAGGAAGCAGGACAGATAAAGCACAGCTCGTGTTTCTGGGAATCCTGACCTCACTGCTGACAGGGAAGTGGTGTGCTCCCAGGAGCTGGCAGATAAGATGCTGGGCTCCTTGTGCTTGCTGGAGCCCAGGGCTGGCTCCTGAGGAGCTGCCAGCAGCACTCTGTGGTTTGGGAATCAGCTGCACTTTGCTCAGCTTCTTTCAAAGCCTCTGCACCCACGGCTGAAAAATTGTGTTTCAAGTTGTGAATGGGGAAATGCTGTGCTGCTTTCATGGGCTGAGGAGAAGGGACACGGACTGGCTCAGGGCTGAGCCCCTTCCAGGCTGTTCCACGGGGATGTTCCTCTGCTGACCTGGCAGAAAAACTGGTGAGAGGGACTTGGGGTGGGCTGGTTTCTCTGCTGGGGTGCTTGCAGAGAATTAGAGCCACTTCCCTGTGTCCTGCTGGGAGCCAGTGCCAGCAGTTCCAGAGTCCCCAGCACGTGGGGACACCACGCTCTGCCAGAGGTTTTATTGCTGTAGCATTTTGCTTGTGGGCAATGGATGGAGGCTTTGTTACAGGTCTTTGAGAAAGGAAATGTCTGACAGGCTGCTGGTGAATGCCTTTTGTTTCATCCTGTGTTTGGAACCAGCAGTTTGTACCTGACAGCATTCAGATTCTTGTTCTCTTTGCATTCCTTGGATGTACTGGAAATAAATTGTAGCATCCTGCCAAGGGACAGGCTGCAGGTGGAATTAACAAACTTATTCTGATTGCCTCGCCCTTCAACTTCATTTTTCTATACTTGTAGAGAGGGGATGTACAGCAGAGTATTATTTGTTTGTGTGTATAAAAATGCATGCATACTTGGAACCAGCAACAGCTCTTTCTCCCTCTTGCAGACTGGAACTGAGCTCTGGAAAAACAAAGTGGAGCTTGGAGCATGTGGCCTGAGGATTGCCTTGCACAGCCAGGGGTAGGAACTGACTGTTTCTCTTGGCTGCTTGGTCAGGGATGAGCAACTGGGACAATGCCTTTGTTCTCCAGAGTAGATAATTCTCTTATTTCTTTGTCAAATGCAGGTGTAGATGTTAATCCTGGCCTAGAAGGGATTAAGAGAGGGTTGCATTGAAATACAAACAAATGTTGTAGTTACATGTGGCTCAAAGGCACTGGAGTGGAATTTTTACTAGTTCACTAACTTTTCCTGAGTTTTAAGGCTGTGCTGACCTTCCTTTCTTTGGGTTCTTTTGCACATTAATTTTCTACAGAGCCCAGCACAGAACTGAGCAAATAATGCATAGTCAACAGCACCAGGTTGTTTTCCCTTTTGTTGCAGGTGGTAGCCAAGCAGTGAGCAGGATGCCCCCAGGCATTTACTGCCCTACGGAATTCTGGTCCAAGGGGGAAAACCAAAACATCCAGGTGGACTTTTTGCTGCCCACAGGCATATACTTGAACCTCTCAGTGCCCTGCAATGCCAGCCTGGGCACCATCAAGCAGGTAACAGCCTTCCACCAGCTTTGGTGACAGTCTGGGTTAGGCCCATCTGCTGCAGAGCTCTGCCTCCAGCAGCAGGCACTTAGGATGAGAGTCAAAAAAGGGATCTCAAGTCATGTGAGAGTGCTATCCACAGGGAGAGAAGCATCCTTGGGAACTGGATAGTGTTGACAAGACTTGAGAAGCTCTTGGCTCCTGTCCTTGGCACCCTGACAGATTTCATGTTACTGGGGGCAAGTTACTTAACCCACTTTTGCTTCCAGTGTGAGTAATTGCTGTGTTTCACAGGACCAGAGTCAGCAGGTGCTTGCTGTGAGGTGTTCAGGTGGGGGTTATTTAAATGCTCAGGCTGAGGGATTGACATTGCCCGAAACAAAAGGCAGGCATGGAGAAAGGAAGCGAGTTAAAGGGTGACAGCAGCACGGTGAGGGAGGGTCACAGTGTGCAAGGTGACAGAGGGAGGGTAACAGCGGCAGGGTGACGGTGTGCAAGGTGACAGCAGCAGGGTGACAACAGCACAGTGAGGTGTGCAGGGCGACAGCAGCAGGGTTGACAGCACAGTGACAGTAGGGTGACAGCAGCAGGGTGACAGCACAGTGACAGGAGGGTGACAGCAGCAGGGTGACAGTGGCACAGTGACAGCAGCAGGTGATGGCGTGCAGAGTGACAGTGTGGTGACAGTAGCAGGTGACAGCGCAGTGACAGCAACATGGTGAGGTGTGCAGGGTGACAGCAGCAGGTGCAGTGGCAGCAGGTGCAGTGACAGCAGGGTGACAGCAGCGGGTGCAGCAGCAGGTGCAGTGACAGCAGCAGGTGCAGCGGCAGCAGGTGACAGCAGCAGCTGACTGTGGCAGCAGGTGACAGCAGCAGGTGCAGCAGCAGCAGGTGACAGTGACAGAAGGTGCAGTGACAGCACAGTGACAGCACAGTGACAGCAGCGGGTGCAGTGGCAGCAGGTGCAGTGACAGCAGTGGGTGCAGCAGCAGCAGGTGACAGTGACAGACGGTGCAGTGACAGCACAGTGACAGCAGCAGGTGCAGCAGCAGGTGCAGCAGCAGGTGCAGTGAGAGCAGCAGGTGCAGCGGCAGCAGCTGACAGCAGCAGCTGACAGCCGCAGGTGCAGCAGCAGGTGCAGTGAGAGCAGCAGGTGCAGCGGCAGCAGCTGACAGCAGCAGCTGACAGCAGCAGGTGCAGCAGCAGGTGCAGCAGCAGCAGGTGACAGTGACAGAAGGTGCAGTGACAGCACAGTGACAGCACAGTGACAGCAGCGGGTGCAGTGGCAGCAGGTGACAGTGGCAGCAGGTGCAGTGACAGCAGCAGGTGCAGTAGCAGCAGCTGACTGTGGCAGCAGGTGACAGCAGCAGCAGGTGACGCGTGTCCCCGCAGGTGCTCTGGAGGCAGGCGCAGCACGAGCCGCTGTTCCACATGCTCAGCGGCCCCGAGGCCTACGTGTTCACCTGCATCAACCAGACGGCCGAGCAGCAGGAGCTGGAGGACGAGCAGCGCCGCCTCTGCGACATCCAGCCCTTCCTGCCCGTGCTGCGCCTCGTGGCGCGCGAGGGCGACCGGGCCAAGAAGCTCATCAACTCCCAGATCAGCCTGCTCATCGGCAGAGGTCAGCTCGCCCAGGGCCACGGGGCTGCCGCCTCCGGGTGGCCCCAGGTGGCTCTGGGTGGCTCTGGGAGCTCTGGGTGGCTCCAGGTGGCTCTGGGTGGCTCTGGGTGTCACACAGCCCGTCCCAACAGCCTGGCTGCCTGCAGGGCTGTGCTGGGACACTGGGGCAGCTGCAGGATCTGTCTGCAGGGGATGCAGAAGGGGGACACTTGTGCAGGTGTTGCTGCCTGCTGGCACCACTGTGGGGACAGTGCCACTGCGCATTGTCCATCCATCCATTGCTGGCAGCCTGGCTGACCCTGCTTTGGCCACGTGTTAAACACGTGCCCAGGGAGACCTTCACAGACACTTGAGGAAAAGGCTCATTTCCCCCTCTGCCTGCAGACGCTCATTTCGCCTTCCCCTCTTGCTTTGCCCCCAGGTTTGCACGAGTTTGACTCTGTGCAGGACCCCGAGGTGAGCGAGTTCCGTGCCAAGATGTGCCAGTTCTGCGAGGAGAAGGCGGCCAGGCGGCAGCAGCTGGGCTGGGCAGCCTGGATGGAGTACAACTTCCCCCTGCAGCTGGAGCCCGTGGCCAAGGGCCTCAGCTCTCTGCAAATCCCCACCCAGAACATTTTTGTCAACATCAGGTTCCAGTCTGGCGGGGTAAAGCACAAAACTTTTCTGTCGCGGTGTTTGATGGTTTGTGCTTTTCCTTTGGAAAGCTCTGTGTGTGTGGAGACAGAGTAATGTGTGCCTGGACAGTGTTTCCATGTGCTCAGTGTTCATTCTCCAGGCTGGAGATGGCTGGGAGGGTGCTGCTCTCCCTCTGCACTGGCTGTACTGGTTAGCTGGGAGCTGAGGTTGCTGCCTGACCTTTTTGGGTTTGGGTAGGAAAGGAGCACAGAATCCAGAGCCTGGCTTTCCTTTGAAAGCTCAGGAGCCTGCTCAGCACACACAGCTTGCAGGCACTGCTCTGTGCTGCCCATGGGCCCCTGTTCCTGCCTGGGCTCACGTTCTGCCTGTTGTGCCTGGGCATGGAGCAGGGGCACCCTCGCAGGAGAGCAGCCTGCAGAGCAGTGAGCTGGAGTGTGGGGACCCTCCCAGCCTCTGCCCTGCTGCTGGAATGACTGTGGGAAGGTTTGGAATGGCTGGCAGCCACGTGAACTGGTGATTCTGCTGAAAATTGAAGTTCCTGATTTGCAGCCTTGTGCTTACACTGCTGAAACTTGCTCCTGCACAGTTTGGCAGGAGCAATATCCCTTCTTATCCTAGGCTGATGTGTGTGATTTACCTTCCCATGCTGCTCCTCACTGCCAGCAGCAGGGGTGTTCCCTGTGCTGGTGCCTGACAGTTTGCTGTGCTGTTGGGATTGCAGGAGAGCTTCATGTTCCAGATCTCCCCCTGGGACTTCCCCATCACCCTGATGAGCTATGCTGTTAAGAAACATGCCACCGTGTTCCGCCACGAGACCGTGCACAGGCCAGAGGACTACACCCTGCAGGTGAATGGGAAATGTGAATATCTCTATGGGAACTACCCCCTGCACCAGTTCCAGGTGAGCCTCGTGTCTTGCTTTATCAGTGGCTGTTCCCACATGGCCTTCTCTTGTGGGGGCGTGGGTTGGGACGTGTTGTGAAGGAGAGAGTGCTGTTTGCAGGAGTGCAGCACAAACTGACAACACCTGCATGCTACCTAGGACACAGGGTGCTTCCAGCAACCTAATCAATCTTTATTTTTGGGGGGCCAATGGTCTAAGTTGTCCCTGGCTGCCAAGTGCTGTGTAAATGCATTTACAGACTGTGGTTCTGGAAATATCTGCTGGCTTGTATGGTGGGGTGAGGGTTCTCCCATTGAAAGCTGGGCACGTAATCCTGAATCATGTGCTGCTCTGGCAGGGCAGACTGCTGCTGGGAGTGCTGAATCCTCCTCAGTGTTTTCCCTTGATGCAGCCATTTGAGCCCATTGATGAAATGCCAGCTATAAAAGGCACTTCATATTCTCAGCTCTGGCAGCATGAGGCCAGCGAGCTGCAGGTTTATAAAGCAGGAGGAGATAATTGGGAGCTGGAATTGGATTGTGGCTGTGTCCTTGCCTGGGTCCCTGCAGGGCTGGTGGCTCTGAGGGTGGCCTGGCTGACCCTGTCCCCTCTCAGCACATCCGCAGCTGCCTGCAGCGGGGCCTGACCCCCCACCTGACCATGGTGCACTCCTCTGCCATCATTGCCATGAGGGACGAGCAGAGCAACTGCATCACCAGCCCCCCAAAGGCGGCCTGCAAGCCCCCCCCGCTCCCCAAGAAAAAGGTAAAAGGGGACAGGGACCCCTGGGCTCACCCTGGGCTCCTCTGCTGGTGGACGGGCTGGGCTGGGCTGGGAACAGCAGTGGGAGCTCCCTGCCCTTCTCAGGGCACGTTCCCAGCTGGGGAACAGGGTGGGAATTTCCAGCCAGCCTTCCAGCCCCCTCCACAGCTTCCCTGGTTGTCCCAGGCTTCTTGCTCTTTTCTGTGGGGCCCAAAAGCACGGAATGGGAGATGAGTTCTGGTGCTGACTTGAGAGGCCTTTGTTGCATCTGTTTCTGATCAGAGCCCTTTTCTCTTTCCAGCCAAACTATGGCTCTCTCTGGTCCTTTGAGCAGCCTTTCTACATCGAGCTGGTGCAGGGCAGCAAGGTCAATGCAGACGAGAGAATGAAGGTGGGCCCTGACTCACTCTGGGGTTTGTTCCTGTGCGTTCCCAGTCTCACCCCCTGCTCCGTGTGGGAGCACAGTGGTGGCTGGCAGTGTGATCCCACCTGCTCCTGCGGGGCTCCTTCAGCCCTTGGGCAGTCCCTGACCTGCAGCACAAGGGATGGGGAGGGAGGTGGGCAGGCAGCAGCCCAGCCTTGGGAAAGCTGCTGCACAGCCAACAGCTGCTGCCCTGAGGTGCTGGCACTGAGCAGGGCAAACCCAGCTCTGGGAGGAGTGATGGGAGAGGTGGTGGTGGCAAGGGGAAGGCAGGAGGCAGCAGAGGCCTGGGATGTGTGGGGTGTTTGCCATGACGGGGAAAATGAGGAGAAGGGGAACAGCTGCCCTTTGGGAAAGGCAGGAAACTGGGCAAGAACGTGCCACATTAACCAATATGCAAGTCTGCACGAAGTGAGAACAGTGCCCTCACTGAAGCCGAGTAAAGAGAGGGGTTTCAGAACTGAGTGTCTGAGCTGGAAAAGAGGCAGGACAAGGAGCCCCTGTGCAGGGCAGGGCTGCCTGTCCCACTGCCCTTGGGCACGCCGGGCAAATCAATGCCCATGGCTCACGTGCTGCCCCTGCTCTGCCGCAGCTGGTGGTGCAGGCAGGGCTGTTCCACGGCGCTGAGATGCTGTGCAAGACCGTGTCGAGCTCGGAGGTGAGCGTGTGCTCGGAGCCCGTGTGGCGGCAGCGCCTGGACTTCGACATCAGCGTCTGCGACCTGCCGCGCATGGCCCGCCTCTGCCTCGCGCTCTACGCCGTCATCGAGAAGGCCAAGAAGGCTCGCTCCACCAAGAAGAAGTCCAAGAAAGCTGTAAGTGAAGCCAGCCCGGGGCTGCAGGGCACGGGGTCCTGAGCCAATGCCCTTGGCTCTCAGAAAGCTTCAGGGTGATAAAACGGCTCGCGGGGCCACGGACAGGAACGCCTTCAGCAGGAGCAGGAAGCTGGGAAGTGGCTGCCTGTAAGAAAGGCTGTTTTTATGTAATTTCTTCTCTAGAAAGGTCATTGAGAAACATACCCAGCACACTGGACCTAAAGGGGAATCACTTATCTCAGTGTCCCTGTTTCGCTCTTCTGCAACTTCCTTGTTTTGTAGTTGAGGTTTAACCATCATCTCTGTTGCATTTTCTTTCTAACAAGGTCCTTCCTGCAAATCCCCCAGTGGAGCAAATTACCAGCTAGGGAGGGGCAACATACTGGGGAATGTACACATTGATTATGGCAAAGCATTAGGCAAGGTAAAATTAAAGTGCAGATTCCTCAAGGTCACTGTTCAGGTGTTGCAAACTGACCATAGAAAGTGTTACATCACCTTGGAAGCTCTTGATTTGAGCGTCTTAATCAGAGGTAGTGATATTTTTCACCTTCCAAAACTTCTATCCCATTAATAATTTAGTAACTAAAAGCAGATCCAGCTGCAGCCTGCAATTGAGTTGCTGATTTCCCAGAGTTGTAATGTAAGCCTCAAGCTCTGTTCTTTATGAGCAGCAAAGGCATTTGTGCCTCTGCAAATTGTTGTCTCTGCGACCACAAAGACTGTTCCCATGCCTTCAGGAGAGGGTTACTCATGCCATCTGTGCTGGAGTGCAGAGGAATGAGGCACTGGTGAGTGAGATACAGGAGATTTCAGTTCTGCTCGCTGCTGGGAGGTTCTGAGCTGTGTTGTGCTGACATCAGTGGGGTTCTCAGGGCTGCTGTGCACTCATGTCTGGGAGCCACAGCCAGCTCACGAATCCTGCTTGTGGGGACCAAGTTCTGGGTTGAAGGCTTCAGACTGGAAACATTTTGAGGCCAGGATCAGGATTAACAGTTTTATTGTTGGGTTTCTTTTTTATTTAAGAGCAGCAGAACCCCAGCTCTTGCTGGAGGCTTTTGTTGGGCAGAAGATCTGATTCATCCACAGGCTGGATGCTTGTGGTCACACTGGAATAATTTTCAGTTTTGAAGCAGTCAGAAGGAAATCTTGCTGTTCTGATTGACAAAACAGAGCCAGTCTGTTTAGCTGAGCTGTTAAGAGGATCTTATTCATCTTTTTCCCCATGGTGAGCTACAGCTCTGAGTGAAGTGCCCAGAAATAATTTCAAATTATTGGTAAAGGCAGTTTACAGAGTGCACCCTGATTTTTTTTGTTTGTTTGTTTTGATTGTTATTTTTTTTCCTTACTCAGAGGTTAATTCCATCCATGTTGTTTATATGCAGACTGTCCAGAGCAGATAGGTGGGACTAAATCATTTATTACCACAAAAGCAGGCATGTTTGCAGGCTGACTGGATGAGTCAGAGGGTTAATGTCACCCAGAGGGTTGGCTTCCAGTATTTCTCTAAATCATGCAGGAGATGGCTGTCTTTAGAGTGCTGGATCCTTGTTTTGCTGGACCTTATCCACCAGAAATCTTGCCTTGTGTTTTGGCAGGCTCTGAGCTGTGCTTAGATGTCATTTTCTCTGTTAGAAAAGGTTATTGCTGCTGGTGGTGTTTTATTTGGCTTCTCCCTGTTCTCTGGAAGCTGATGTCTCAAATGTGATTTCACTGAAGATATTTGGAGTAATCAAATCAGCACCAAGGTTGTGAGAGGCAGCTTGGGGTGACTCATTTTGTCACGTCAGAGGGAAATGGGGGTTCTGTTACCTCCCCCAGTGCTGGGCTGTTCTGTGGGGCAGGGCTGCACTGTCTGGAATGCCCCAGTGGAGTCAGATGTGTCTCTGTGGCTCCTTCCAGCGTGGCTCTGTCTGTGGGTGCCTCAGTGCAGAATTTCTGCCTTCAACCCCTTTTCCAGTTGTTTCTGTGCTTGAGCCCTGCTGTGATCTGAGCTCTGAGTGCTGCTGTGTGAGGTCAATGTTCCATCTGGGGAACCTGCCTGCAGGAAAGCTGAGCTCCCTCGTGGAACGTGTGTGTGCTCTGGGCTGGGAGCTGGCTGAGGGCAGGGGCTGGGTTCTTGTCCTGGCCATGTCCCAGGCACTTCACTTGCTGGAGTCTCCCTCCTCCAAAACAGGGCTGGGTTGGATTTGTGGGGTTTATTTTGGGGGTGTGGTGAGGGATTGGCAGCATAAAGTTTGATTTCTATAGATAGTGTTTATTATTGTACAAAGAAGCCAAGCCTTTTTTCCTATTATGAGCTATTTCTAGCATCCCTTGTCTCCTTTCCCAAAATCGTGCCTACTCCGTGTTCCCTCTTTCAAAATTAAAGTTCTTCTCCCTCCCCTCAAATTGTGAAATATATGAAATATGTAATAGTTCCCTCAAATACTGAGTGTAGAGTAGCAAGGCCTTATTGGAAAATTAGAGATTCTTCAGCTTTGCCCAGTATCAGGTGGTGAAGTTCCAGACACGTTCGTGGGGAGCGTTTGGTGCCATTCAGCACCACACAAACGACCCCAGGTTTTGGCAAGTGCCCAGTGCCACCTGGCAGTCAGCTTTGGAGAATTGAGCAGGGCACAGGCAGGGTGTCCTGTGCAGGGTGTCCTGTTCAGGGTGTCCTGTGCAGGGGGTCCGCTGGCAGGGCAGCCCCACGGCGCTGTTTCCCCAGGACTGCCCCATCGCCTGGGCCAACGTGATGCTCTTCGACTACAAGGACCAGCTGAAAACGGGGGAGTGCTGCCTGCACATGTGGTCCTCCTTCCCAGGTATGGCAGGAGAGGGAGCTGCTGCCCTTGGCACCCTCAGTCTCCCCCTGGAAGTGGAGTGGGCGCTGCTCCGTGCCCTGATGGCAGCTGGAGCCCTGCCAAGGCGAGGCTTTGCTGAGCCTGGCTTTGCAGGTGTGACCTGAGAGGTGGCTGCTCACCTGAGGATGCCACGTGCCCCTCTCTGGGAGGGCTCAGGAGGGTGGAGTGCTCGAGGCCGGGCAGTGCCCAGGGACAGTCTCTGCTCTGCTTTCTGCAGCAAAGCTTCACAAGGTTTGGGCTCATGGGTTTTGTGTGCTTTGTTTTCCAGATGAGAAAGGGGAACTTCTGAACCCCATGGGCACAGTGCAGTGCAACCCCAACACTGAGAGTGCAGCAGCCTTGGTCATCTGCTTCCCCAGCGTGGCAGCACATCCTGTGTACTACCCATCCTTTGAGCAGGTGGGGCACAGGGACACTTTTGGGAATTCCCTCACTGTCCCTTCCAGTGGGGAACCTCTGGGGCAGCCATCGACAGGCACTGGATGCAAGCAAACTTGATTAATAGATATTGTTAACTGAAAATTTCACTTTTTCCTCTCACCTAATGGATCTTTGAGTGAATACTTTTCTGAGCTATGAATTACTAAAGTAAATAGATTAACATTTGTTTAAAAAATGGGTTTAACTGAGCTGCCTTCAGACTGCATTAGGCTCTGTAGGAAGGAAGAGGAATAAAGGGGAAATGAGTGAAAGTAGGCAGCTCCCTCCTTTCAGCAGAGTGATAACATGCCATGTGTGAGCTGGAGATTTTCCATCTGTCGCTGCAAGTGGCCAGGCAAGGGGAGGAAGAGCTGTGCCTGTTGCAGGGGAGGAGGGAGATCTGTCTGTGCTGCCAGGAGCAGGGTCTGGCCCAGAGGCTGTGCCAGGCAGAAAGGGGAGCCCGGGAGGGGTGGCAAGTGACTGACCTCCAGTGCAGCATGAGGTGATGGTGCCTGCACTTACAGAGGAGCTGAGAGCCTTTCTCACCCTCTCCATTTGTGTCCCAGCTGCTGGAGTTGGGGAGGAATGGAGAACAACCCCGAGCTGCCCCAGAAGATTCCGAGGAGGTGAGACTTCTGGCACCAGTTTTCAGCTGCCTCCAGCCTGGTTTCGTGGACTGGTTGTTTCCCCCTTGCCCCTCCAGCACTTTTCACCCAGCGGGGTGCTGCCCCAGCCCTGCAGGGTCTCTGTGGCTGGCTGGGCCCAGAGCGTGCTCTTGCTGTGCAGAAGCTGCAGCTGAAGGAGATCCTGGAGCGCAGGAGCCACACGGAGCTGTACGAGCACGAGAAGGACCTGGTGTGGAAGATGAGGTTCGACATCCGCGACCAGTACCCGCAGGCCCTGGCCAAGCTGCTCGTCATCACCAAGTGGAACAAGCACGAGGATGTTGCCCAGGTGAGGAGGCTGGGGCTGCCAGCCAGGGCTCCTTTTCTGGGCCATCTTTCAGTGTCCACATTCCTGTGCTGCGTTCGGGAGCCCAGCTCAGCAGGGCTGTTCCACAGTTTTCTCAGGGAAGTTCCCAGCTGGGGTCTGGTTCTCCTGGGCTCTGTTTGGTTCTGGGGGCTGTCCCAGATTTGTTACTGGCCAGCAAGATCTTGTTTAGCCCTTCAAGAAACTGGAGGCAAAAAAAAAAATCTGGATTGAATACTCTTAAATAATAGTAAGAGATCAGCACAAGCCCCCTCAGTGGATCACTTTTTGACCTGCTATCCTGCTATCTGCAGACTTGCTGTGAGGCATCTATAAATAGTGACCCCCCCCTGTATGGAGCTGCTCTTTCATCCATAGAATTTCAGATTTATATCCATTGCCATAAAAGCCTTGTTCCTTTTGGTAGCTATTTTCTTTTTGCTCATTACAGATGATTTCCCTGCTTCAGACCTGGCCTGAGCTGCCTGTCCTGAATGCCTTGGAGCTGCTGGATTTCAGCTTTCCTGACCGTTACGTTGGCTCCTTTGCTGTCAACTCCCTGAAGAAGCTGACGTAAGTGCTGTCCCCAGGGGAGAGGCAGAGCCCTTTCTATTTCTGCTCAGGGCTGCTGAGGGGCTGTGAACAGCAGTGACAGCCTTGTCTCTGCAGCTTGTACAAGGTTGTGTTTCATGTTTCCTTTCTGTCCCCAGGGATGATGACGTGTTCCAATACCTGCTGCAGCTTGTCCAGGTGCTCAAGTATGAATCCTACCTAGACTGTGAATTGACCAAGTTCCTGCTGGAAAGGGCATTATCCAACCGCAAGATCGGCCACTTCCTCTTCTGGCATCTCAGGTGAAGAGCAAATCTTTTAGGCTTTTTCTCAAAAATCAAGGGAAACCAGCATTTGCTGAGTCCTTCATTGCTCTGTGGTATGGGAACTGCTACTTTTTACCTCGGGTGACTCAATAAGAATTATTCCAGGAGGACACAGTATTGGTTTTTTGTTCATTTCTTTTTGTCTTTTGTCATTGTAGTGGAGGTGTTTGGGTTAGGTGCTGTTTCCAGAATTTATATGTATTTGTGACTATATACACACACATGCCTCTGAGCTAGAATTTGCTTTGGGCTTCCATGGCCACCTGCCAGCTCTGAGCCATAAGCTCTGAACTGTTCTTGCTCCCCAAGTGATGTTCTCAAAGGAGGGGTTGGGGACTGAGTCACCCAAAAGATGTTTCATCACCTCAAGCAATGGTTTTTCCCCATCACCTTCTGGGGTGGGGGATTTTTTGTCCTCCCCCACTCCCCAGGTCTGAGAGCAGCCAGGTGCTGTGGCTCCCCTGGCTGACCTGGCAGCCCTGCTGTAACCCTGCTCCCTGCAGGTCGGAGATGCACGTGCCCGCCGTGTCCCTGAGGTTTGGGCTGATCCTGGAAGCCTACTGCCGGGGCAGCACCCACCACATGAAGGTGCTGATGAAGCAGGTACTGATTGCTTTGGGCCTTCCTCTGCCTTGGGGCTGCTTCCCAGCTCTTGGCTTTCCCAAATTAATGTCACCAGCAGTACAGGAAAAGCCTCGGGAGGGCTGCTGGCTCTGGGGTCCCCTGGAGACCCCCAGCACATGTGGAACCACACTGAGAGCTGGGGTCTCACCCACGCTGAGAGCTGGGGTCTCACCCACACTGAGAGCTGGGGTCTCACCCACACTGCTGCAGTCTGTGTGCAGAAGGGGCTGAGATGTGCAGGGCACTGCTCTTTCCAGATCAGCTGGCTCAGGGGCTGTTCACTGGGAGCTGCTCACAACCAGAGCTCCCCAAAAGCAGCAAAGGGCAGGCTGGGCTCTCGCTCTCGTCCTCTGCACTTTTCCAGCCAGGGCACCTCACTTCTTCCTTTGTGTGTGGTAATGTGCTTTATTCCTGCTGCAGCCATTACCTTGCAATGCATTTGTGCCCAGCAGAGTATCCACAATTAATTATGGATCTTCCTCAAGCACATAGTACTAAATTTGTTTTGCTGCAGTGTGTGAAATTGCTACAAATTGAAGAGGAAGTAAGAGATGGAACCAAGGTTTACATTTCACAGGAGATTTTAATGCTTTTTAAACTTTCTCCAGGAATTTCCTGTTTGTTAACCCTGTTTCATCCCTCCCTTTTTTCAGGGAGAAGCACTGAACAAGATGAAAGCTCTGAATGACTTTGTGAAAGTGAGTTCTCAGAAGGCCACCAAGCCTCAGACCAAGGAGATGATGCACATGTGCATGAAGCAGGAAACCTACAGGGAAGCCCTTTCCCACCTCCAGTCCCCCCTGAACCCCAACATTATCCTCGCTGAAGTTTGGTAAGGGAGAGATCTGCACCTCTGAATTTGTGTGGATTTTGTGCTTTGTTTCCCACTGGAGCCAGGCTTTGTGTTATCCCAAGGTTCTTTCCTCATGGGGGTCCCAAGTCCATCAGTGGGTGGGGTTGCTGTGGGACTGGCAGCTTGGATGGCTGATATTTTAATAGATGGAAACTGAGGATAATATTTTTATTTCCTCTAGTGTGGATCAGTGCACCTTCATGGACTCCAAAATGAAACCTTTGTGGATTGTGTTTAATAATGAAGAGACAGGTCGAGGTGGAGTGGGTATAATTTTTAAAAATGGAGATGGTAAGTCTTTATTATGCTTGTGAAAATATCTTTTAGTCTCAAGTATTTACCGGGGTGAGTGGGCCTAAATCTGGACCATTAAGATGTTGTGTAAATCAGGAACTTTAATGTTTTTGGGTGAGATTTTTGGTAGTAATCTGAAAATATATATTAACTAACTCCCCTCTATATTTCACCTGCTTTTACTTCACCTGCTTCCCCCTTTAATTAAGATTTTGGTGCAGTGGTGATTGCATAGCTTTGAACAGTAAAATGATCTTTTCCTCCGCAATGCTGCCCAGATCTGCGCCAGGACATGCTGACTCTGCAGATGATCCAGCTGATGGACATCCTGTGGAAGCAGGAGGGCCTGGACCTGAGGTGAGCAGCGTGCCCACAGCTGTCCTGCACTGACAGCCAGGCTGGAGAGGCTGCTTCCTCTGCAAGCTCCTTTTGCCCCCAGCAGCTCTGCCTGGAGCAGCTGGGCAGCTTCTGTGGGGCACAGCAGCAAGGGAGGAGACAGGGCAGGCAAGGGGAAGCTTAAAAGTCACCATGAGCCATTTGTGGGCAGGATTTCAGTGGAAGGGTTTCTTTCATCTCTGCAGGATGACCCCTTATGGCTGCCTCTCCACAGGAGACAAGACGGGGCTCATTGAGGTGGTCATGCACTCGGACACCATCGCCAACATCCAGCTCAACAAGAGCAACATGGTGGCCACGGCTGCCTTCAACAAGGACGCTCTGCTGAACTGGCTCAAGTCCAAGAACCCGGGGTGAGGCTCACCTCTCCCTCCCTGCCCCTCTTCCTTCAGCTGGGGCTGCCCCCCTGCCTGGCACACCTGGAGGCCTCGTGTGGATCTCATTTCCACTGAGGTTTTGGCACCACCTTACTCAGAGCCCTTCGCTGGCAGACCTTGCAGCTCCTTTTTGTGAAGCAGGGGTGGGAGTCCTGCCTCCAGAGAGCACGACACGAGCTTCCCTCCCTTCTCCTGCAGCTGCAAACAGCCCTCCCCACGGGGCAGTGCTGGAGCCCAAAGTAAAATTATCTTTCACTCTTTCCCACCCTCTCTAGGGATGCCTTGGAGCAAGCCATCGAGGAGTTCACCCTGTCCTGTGCTGGGTACTGCGTGGCCACCTACGTGCTGGGCATCGGGGACCGGCACAGCGACAACATCATGGTCCGGGAGACGGGGCAGGTGAGGAGGGGGCTTGGGCAGGTGAGGAGGGGGCTGGGGCAGGTGAGGAGGGGGCACGGGCAGGGGGCTCTGCCTGGGCTCCCCTCCCTCCCTGACCCCTGTGGCCAGGATCTGCTCAATGCAGTAACTGAAGAGAGCTCAGCTCTGAGCAGCTAAAACAAGCAATATTCTGAATTTTTTTATTTGTAGCTGTTCCATATTGATTTTGGTCACTTTTTGGGGAACTTCAAGACTAAATTTGGTATCAATAGAGAACGAGTTCCTTTCATCTTAACCTATGACTTCGTGCACGTCATCCAGCAAGGAAAAACTAACAACAATGAGAAGTTTGAAAGGTAAGTGCTGGGAGTTAAACTTGACTTCAGCTTTTGAAGCTCTGAATTTTTAGTATTTATTTCCACCAATGAGTATTAGTACTATAAGTATTTAGTATTTATTTCCAGCCATAAGGCAGCTTCTAGCTGCCTGTACAGATGGAAGTAAATAAATGAACTGGAGAGAGCAGGGTTCAGACTGCTGAAATGCTTTACAGAATGGTGGGGTTGCAGTGCTCACTCCTTTGGCTGCTCTTTCCCCTGCCCAGGTTCAGGGGGTACTGTGAGAGGGCCTACATGATCCTGCGGCGCCACGGGCTCCTCTTCCTGCACCTCTTTGCACTGATGAAGGCTGCTGGGCTGCCAGAGCTCAGCTGCTCCAAAGACATCCAGTACCTAAAGGTAAGAGCAGAGCCCATGCAAGGGGTTAAACTGAGCACCTGATTTTGTGCCTGGGGAAGGAGGAGGAGGTCAGTGTGCCAGGCCAGATTCTGAGAAGCAGATGAGCTCCAGAACAGTGAGTGGGGTCCAATGCCCTGTGCAGGACATCAGCAATGCCAGGTGCTGGTGCTCAGAAACCTCCTCAGGTTCTTCAGCACAAAGGCAGCAGGTGCCCACTGGCAGGAAGGAGGCAAAGCCCTTGGCTCTCATTTCCTAGTTTGCCTCCTGAGTCACAACCACCCCTCCCTGGAAGCTGCAGAACACTTTGTCCAAGAGCAATCTGCTCTTCCCTGCACCTACAGAAGCAGAGGGCGCAAGTGTTTATCAGAGAAAAAACCTCCTGCAACTGCAGGAACAATTGAAAATAATTGGCTACTCCATTCCTCCCCTCAGTGGAGTAATTTCTCATGAATAAAACCTGGTTGAGCAGCACTGATTTGTGCCTCTTGCCTTCAGGACTCCCTGGCCCTTGGGAAGACTGATGAGGAGGCACTGAAGCACTTCAGAGTGAAGTTTAATGAAGCTCTGCGGGAGAGCTGGAAAACCAAAGTGAACTGGCTGGCACACAACGTCTCCAAAGACAACAGGCAGTAGAGCAGGAGCTGCCCCAGGTGCCTGAAGACTCAACAGTGGTGCAGTGGGCAAGATCCCCCAGAGATCAGACATTGCTGCACGACTGAAAAACTGCTGGCCTGTCCTCAGCCACAGCCTGTGGCTGCTCTGCATCTCTGGGGGACAAGGGAGAGACGTGAGGCAATAAAACTACTGCAGTCAAGGTAGGGAGAGGTACTGGACCTTGAGAACTCCTTGAGCTTCAAATACGTGTTTCAATGGAAGAGTCGAGGCATTGCAACATCCCTCCAGTGTGCTGATGTCTGTATTCCTGTTTTCTTGAAAATTTAGCTGAGCAGAGATCCCCCCTGCCTGTAGCCTGTCTTCTAGGACACCACTATTACAGCTTAGAGGCATTAACTTCAGCATGTGGTCACTCCTGCCCCGTGGCAGTGTCCACTGAGGTGGGACAGCTCAAAGCACACCAAAGCCAACTTGGATAAATGGTTTTACTCTGCCTTGACACAGGATAAAAACATCCAGGCTCTCATACTGCTGTCTGTCTGCTCCAGAGGCCAAAGTGTTCTGAAACTGAGCTGGAACTCAGCTACTGCTGTCTAGAACTGATGGCACAAAAGCAGCTTTGGGGTGGCCACTGGATCAGGTACTTTGCTTTCCAAAGTTAGGCTTTCGTTGAGCCTCAAGTAATTCCTGCATTTCTGGATTTATTTTGGTTTCAAACCTGAAAACGCTAAGATTGCATTTTCAAATTGAAGTACTTACTGCTTTTCATAGAAGATGTTGAGCTGTGAGGTCTGTTCTGGTTTGGATCTATTCATACAAACCCTGTTGCCTCTCAAGCACCTGTTCTAGAACACCTCATTTTAATTTAATCTCACCCTGGGAGAGCCCCTTTTCCTACACCTTCAGATGATACTGTGACTGAAGCACTCAGGCTCTAACAGCTGCTTTGGTACTAGAGGGAAATACTGCAGGATTGAGAGCTCTGTGCAGGCTGGTCAGTGAGAAACAGTCCTGTGCCTCTGCTCCATTTTAGAGTAAATATTGCTATTTCCTTGCTTATTAAACTAATTTACAGAGCAAAAGGTCTGGGCCCTGTGCAAGGTGAGACGCACTGAAAGCACAGCCCCGACCAGGTTCTTGTGGAAGGGAAGACACTACAGGCCCCGGGCTGCAGAGGCAATTCTCCTGCAGGCAGAGCCTGGGGTCAGGCTGCTGCAGCTCCGGCCCCCTGCTCTCCTCATCCTCTCACAGCAGAAAGGCCAGGCCCTCACAGAGTTCAGAGCAGGGGCTCCTGTCCCGTCCCTCACTCTGAGAAGTGCAATAACACAAAGCTGTAGCAGCATCAACTGCAAGACCTGAGCAGAGTTTTACAGAGCTTGCTTAGTCTGGAAAACTTGACTTACCTACGAGCAGTAAAATCTCACTGAGTCATGGTGTGGAACTTCTTCCCTGTACACCCTGGGAGAGAACCTTGGACAAATCTGACAGCTCTGTTGGGTCAGCAAAGAGCCTCTGACTCCAAATTTGCAAAGCAGCAGCTCACCTGGTGGTTTTCAGCAAGCTGAACTGTACTAAAGATTGAAACTTAGATAATTTTCAAAAATGTTCCATTTCATTACAAGTGGCTTCTCATTTTTATAAATATGCTCAGAATGATGCATAGAGATGATGATAGACCTATTTCTATTTATTTAGAGATGTTTCTGTCATTATTTTTTTTTAACTCTGTACAAACTGATTGTGCTTATTCTGTTGCCTTTGAAAAATAAGTATTTTTTTAAGCCAAGCCGTGGTTCTGCAAGAAGAGAATGTTTACATGTTTAGCTTTTCAGTTGCATTAGGTACATGTTTTGTAAATAAGAAATAAAAGATATTGACAAATTGTATACAAATGCTGCCAAGTCCTTCTGTGCTTGAGAGCAATGACCACAAAACTCTCCTACTCCCCCAGCAGAGGCAAATTAACACATTTATATAACTGGATTCTATTTTGTTTCACTCAGTAAGAAAAAAAATGCAAACAACCTTTAGAACCAGAAATTTATTGTAGCTTATAGACTTTCCAAACTGACCTGTTACCAATATACACATCTGAAAAGTTATACCCACAGTGGCTACAAACTGCATCAGGACATTACAAGCCCTCAGTATTACCATTAAGTCATGATCAGTTTTGGTCTAAAATACAGCAGCTACAGCAACAGTATATGGAAGGATAAGTCTTCTACACATTAACACAGGACAACTGTCAGACATAAGTTAAAAGTTTCCCAGTTTACTTAAAACTAGCAGTTAATTACCACCTAAGTAGTCAAAACCATTTTCCCATTTTAGAAATCTAAAATTTTACATTTAAAAAAAAAACCAAAACAAAACCAAAACCAACCCCAAGAAACAGTAAGCTCTGGTGTGGGTTCTGCCCCTGCTGCCAGGTCCATCTCTGTTTAAAGGCACTCCTCAGTCAGGCTCCCCCAGAGCAAACCCCATCGATCCCCGCAGCGGGGAGGGGGCTGCTCTGGAAACCCAGCTGCCCACACACGTGCTCAGGCCTGATCCTCGGGACCCCCGTGCCCCTCTCTGGCCCTGCCCCAGTGCCCCTGGCCCTGCCCTGGCCCGCTGGGCTCTGTCCCCACGCTGGCGCTTACCGTGCTCAGGAGGGAGTGCAGTCCCAGGCTCCTGTTACAGGCAGAGCAAGTTACTCTTTAATCCACCTCCTCAGAGATCAAGCAGAAATTCATTATTCACGACTCTGCACCAGACCAAATAAAGTTAAAGAACCCTGCCTGACAGAAAAAACAGCCCCCCCATGTTTGTACCTTCCAGCTACTGCCCTCTGCAATCCCAGATTGGAACTGGGATCAGAAACAACCCAAATTACATGAATTAACGTGATTCCCAAGGTTTTCTGGTCGGATAATTTATGCTACAGTTTTTCACCAGCAGGAAAACACAATTACTAAGTGTAAACAAAGGCTTAAAACAACAACAATCTGTACAAGGGGCTGCAGGGGAGGAGCAGGGAGTGTTCAGTGGTATCAGCTACATCCCAAACCCTCCCACTTCCAAATTAGAAAACATTAACAACAAAAACCCCTAAATCCCTATCCATGTAGACTGGTAGCCCAGGTGCTCAGGTACCCAGGTCTCAGACTCCCCTACACCCAGAGCTGCCTGCAGTGTGCACAGCCCACCCTGGACTCCAGGCACTCTCCACAGAACTACCAGAGCTGTGGCCACAGCCACAGCACACAGATCTGCCCACCATGCATGTAGTGTTATTTCCCCAATAACTTAAAAGCCTTTATGGCAAGCCATAATTGGAGAAAAAAATAAAATTAAAAACAAACTGTAGTGCACGGGGAAGCTGAACCTCTGCAGAGGCTCCTAAAGCCTTTACAACCTCGCACAAGCTTGTCTGTTCCCTCTGCAAAAAAAAAGGAGATGAAAGAAAAGGAAGGAGTTGAAGGAGAGCGGGGCATGAGCACACATGGCATCAAGGCCAAGACAGAGTTACTGAACATCTACACTAAGAACTGTGCCCGTGCTCCTGCTGCAGAAGGATGAGACTTGGAATAGTTCATGCTGCATGATTTTTCACTTTAGCATGTTTTAAACCCCAATCCCTGTTTTCACTACCACAAATGACATAATTACATAATTCCAATATATTTACAAAATATTAAAAAGTCTTGTTAATCTTCTACATATTAACCTCATTCTGCCACTTTACACATGCACTAATTTGGGGAAAAAAAATTAAAAGAAATCAACAGGCTGAAATGAGCAGCTTTACCCTTTGTCAACAAGCAATCTTTGCATCGTTTAGAAAGAGAAAAAGGAACAAAGCCAAGTTTGTTTCACTGAGCAAAAAAAGACAGTTCAGAAATTCATGTGCAATGGCTACAGAGCTGTAGAGTCACTGAGCTGAGATGACACGAAGAAAAAAGTGCAAGGTGGTTCCTCACAGAGCGTAAAAAAAATCCAGTCACTGAGGCATGGCTGAAGGAAGAGGTGCTAACTACAACCCTAAACATCAGGAACTAGCTGACAGAACACAAACACGGCTTGTGTGGGGGTCAATCTACTGGCCAGAATGAATTTTTTTGTTTTAAACACCATGAATCCTTGGTACCAATGGAGTGTGTGACAGTGGAGTCTTCCAGAGCGGGAACAGAAAGACAAAGGGAGCAGCTAGAATCAATAACTGAGGGTAGAGTCATCCCACTCCAGCTGCTGCTGTCTGTTGACATTCTGTTGGTCCTCCTCCTGCTCTCCCTCTTCCTCCTCACTGCTTTCAGACTCTGCACTAGTGATGTCATCTTCTTCTCCATCTTCACTTTCTTCTTCCTCCTCCTCCTCCTCCTCTTCACTGCTGTGTTGATCCTCATAAGTCTGTTCAGACAAAATTAGCTGTCATTACCAAACTGGCCAAAATTCTTTTTGCTCTTTATTCAAGGTATTACACTGAGGAAGAGCTATTGCAGATTCCTTGCTGGATTTAGAAGTTCAGCAGGAATTAGGCAGAAACCAGAAAAGACAAAGGAAGTAGCACATTGCAAAAGAGTTCTGTGATACTGCTGTCAGTCCTGGCACTCTACACAAAGTGGCTCTGAAGGGGATGCAGCACTGCAAATTCTACTGGAGAAGGATCTTACAATAGGACACAGAGCATGAAGGTCACACATCTTTCTTGTTCCCAATTTTCTAAAAATTCATGTCAGCCACTGGAGAAGGTAACATCATAAACACAAATGCTCTGACAATAAATTCCTGTGAGTTTAGACAAAAGCAGGCTGTGTTTAAGGCACTGTGCACATGGTGATGAACACTAGTGCTGGACACTGGCCTGTAAAATCCCATTCTCCATCACGAAACTCTAACCCCTGCAGGATCCCAACCAAGTGCCCCTGGCATTTGGCACATTTGTCCAAAATTCCCAGGTACTGTCTCTGCCCCGTGCTCAGGGCTGGTTCTGCTCCCCTCCTGTGGCCAGGGGCAATCCCAGGGAGAAGGGCACAGGTGGGAAAGGGCAGCAGGTGCCCAGGGTTACCTCCATGGGGTTCACAGTGATGGTCAGAGCAGAGTCGTCCCAGTCCATCTCGTTCTCCTTGCCCGTGTCCTGGTCCCTCATGGTTCTCTGGTGCGCGGCGCGGATGCGGAACACGCCCAGGATGATCATGAACACCAGGAAGCTGACACACACCACGATCACCACCGTGGCTGTGCTGGGGACAACTGCAGCCAAAAACACAGCAGGGGTAACTCTG